AAAAAAAAAAAAAACTATGCATGCCCACACACTCGCTTTCACACCCACATTCAACAAATAGTAAAGTTTAAAAACATAACATCTAACATACCTAAAACACTCTTTTTCCAGCATTACATATCCATTCTAAACTCATTTCTGATTTAGCTAAGAGCTAATAGCGGATTCACGTACAGGAGGATCAAGGAGATAATTAAGTTTTCATGGTACCAGTCAAACTGAAACATGTCCCCTGTTTGTGGCCCACCAGCTGTTCATGGGAGAATATAAAAGCCATTCAAGATTAAACAACTGCCATATTAATTTCCTGACTAATGAGGGCAGTTTTAGCCAGAAGGGTCATCATCCTCCCCGAGTCTATTTTCGCTGAGACCAATAGCAGAAATCAAGAAGCGATACTGGAGCGGCAGTGAGAGACGGCGGGGGGAAGGGCGTCTGCTTCCACTACCGAGCCTTCAATTTCAATAAGTGTCAAGGGGCTACGTAGGTAATTCAATAAAGGATCTGTGATGTAACATGCCCATAGATACAGACCTTCTATCTTTAACATTTGGATTAAGTGGTTGGTGAGGAGCGCTGCCTATCTCTGATGGCCTTCCAGATTTATGACGCTAAGGGTTGCAATTTATTTTTTTTAATAGTATCCATTTGTCATTATTGCCTTTTTCTTTTTGAGTCGGCCTTAGGTATGGATACCTGCCCGGAATTATGGTCTAAGGGGTTCTCATCTCTTTGTTTTGATCAAAAAAGCTGATACATTAGAGTCATGGAACATTAAGCCCTGCAGGCTTTTTAACATTTTTTATTTATTTTCTACATGTAATTATCTCAGCCACACACCTAAAAAGAGCTTTCTTCTTCCTCATCTCCACAACAGGTTGTTATGCCGCGCGCTGCTCTGTTGGTTTCTCAGGATGAAAGAGACGATCTAATTTCACAGCATATGCAAGCGCGGCCGTGAGCTAAAGTTTAGTCGGAGCCAGCTCCAGCTATTTCTTTAAGTTTCCTCGCACCACTTCTTTATAAATTGTCATTTGGAAGCTGCATCTGTGCATCATCATGCCCCTTTGATGTTATGTGTTGATTTGAGTGGCTTTTCATGTCTCGCTCTCCTCATTCCTCTGTAACTAAAAGACACTGTAAGAAAAAAAAAAAAAAAAAAAAGCCAGGGCTCTTTGCTAAAAAGTTCAGAGTGAGAAAGTAATGGAAATGTTGAAGCCCTCTTGCTGAAGGTTACCTCAAATGTGACTGGTCAGTGACAGCAGAAGTCGAGGAAAGTAAGGTCAGTGTTGTCCGATAGTGCATCCGCAGGAATGAAGTCAGAGAGGATCAAATGCCACACTTTAAAAAGGAGAAAGTGAGATAAAGGCCGACAGGAAGGAAAATGAAAGGACTGAAATGAAACCACTCTGGGGGGGGAAGCGGCGTCCTCAGAAGTCAGAGTGTTACGGGGTCAGGAACCAGCGTTTGTGCAGATTGCTTTGGAGTAATGAGATGCTCTTGAACCTGCAGCTGTTTTGCAAAGATGACGGAGTAATGCGAGTAAAAAAAAAAAAAAAGAAGTCAGATGAGCTGTCAAATGAGAGGGCTTCAGAAAATGATAGCGCACGTCTGGTCAAAAGATAAATTCTATCTTTTGACCTTCAGCTTCAACTCTCTCTTGTCAAACTTTAAAGCAGGGACTTTTGGACTCAAACACTTGAGGACTCCCATCGTAGGACGCTGTTTTTATAGCTGGATAGAGCTGACTGCATCTGTCGATTTCTAATATGTAAATTAATGAGGTTGTAAGCCCGTGTGGCTCTGCATACGTAAAGGCATACTTCAGTAAATGAGCATAAAAAATTAAAAAGTTACACTTAAAATACTTGACAGGCCCTACAGCTTTAGGACAAATTCAGTTCTTCATTAGGACTGAATTTGTTCTGAAGCTTCTCTTGGTTTTCAGATATGTACAGCTTTGTATCTTTATGCTCGTAGAAAGAGGTTTGTGGCATCTTGGGCCTGATGTTTGCCCATTGACGTAAATGTCTTGGTTAATTTGTCGTTTTTTCATCTGGTTGGTCGCCTTTTCCAGAAGATTGTGCCGATGTTTTTTGGTATTTGTTGTACCTTTATACCCGTCTATCTTCCTGTGATTTGGACGATGATTTGGCAGTTGGACACAGACTGTGGATCTATCATCCTATAGATGTGAAATCTCTTTTAACCAATGACAGATAGGTTAAACATATCGGTTTCCTTCATGTCTTTGTCCATTCTGACCCTGATGAAGACACCGTAATGCTGAAACATTAGTCTTGTTTGCAAAATAAAAAGCTATAAATGAAACCGTGGGCTGCAAGGTGGCGCAGTTGGTAGCACTGTTGCCTCACAGCAAGAAGGTTGCCGGTTCGCGTCCCGGTGGGGGCACTGGAATCTTTCTGCGTGGAGTTTGCATGTTCTCCCCGTGCAGCGTGGGTTCTCTCCGGGTTCTCCGGCTTCCTCCCACACAGTCCAAAAACATGCTGAGGTTAATTGGTGATTCTAAATTGTCCGTAGGTGTGAATGTGAGTGTGCTTGGTTGTCTGTCTCTAAGTGTAGCCCTGTGATAGACTGGTGACCTGTCCAGGGTGTCCCCTGCCTTCGCCCTAAGTCGGCTGGGATAGGCTCCAGCCCCCCCGCGACCCTAGTGAGGATTAAGCGGTGGATAGAAAATGGATGGATGGATGAAACCGTGTGCTCCTGCCCCCATTTTTCCTTTAATAAGATGCTGAAAAGCATCTGTTTTTGCTGGAAGATGTGCAGAGAACCCTGTTTTTACTAAAGCTCCACAGTGTTTCAGAAGCAGAAGAGATATTTCTGCTACAAATTCACTTATTTACTCGGTACACGCAGAGAAGAAATAGTGTAAAGATGCCACAACTCCAACAATATTGCATTATAGAGAAGAAGGGCATGGTGCTTGGGTCAGTCCTGTGTTGGCTGATGAACATGCACGATGGCCGCTGGTCTGCAGCAAAGCCACGGACCGAATAACTGACCAAGAAACATTGTCTTTGCTGGAGCGATGCTGTTAGCGTTACTAAAAATGTGAATTTACTGCATTCTCACTGATTCCAACTTTTCAGAGTTGCAGGGTGTGCAGTTTCAAGTTCTGCCAGCCCAACACTTATCACTTGAGTGCTGCTGAGTTGAGGGTATTTCGCCACTTTTCAAATGTTCCTTTCAGTTCTATTGTCAGACAGGGAAAAAATCTCAAGTGTTTATCATGTGGAGACGCCGACAAATATGGTCGATGAGGTGTAATTTACGTTGCTTTCTTTCGAAGGTGTCAAAAGCGAGGTGCCTTTTAAAGTTAAAGTGTTGAAGCTCGTGTATGCCTGGAAGAATGCATCATTATGGCCTTTGTATAGTGAGTGCTGCAAAAAGCCGACGGCTGTTTGTGAGTGAAACCGTCTCTGTTTATGAGGTAGCCAACTTTCTGAGCACACGAGCTAGACTCTTGTTATTTACTCATATGAAGTGCCATCCCATTGGCCTTGTTTACTTACGCGTGTCATCCCGATGATGCGAAGTTAAGCGGATGTGTCACGATAGATTTGTGAAACACGATGATCGGCACACTTTCAAAAAGAATAAGACGCCGGAGCAGACTTTATTTGCTCATCCACAACTCGGCTGCCGCCTGACAAATAATGAGGTAGACGGTATTTTTTGCTATCGCTTTGGTGTCAGAACAAATGGCATTATGGATATGACACCGCTTGACAGGTCTTATGTCATGTGTACAGTGCTGTCATTTCGACGTCTAGGTGACCATGTCAAATTAGTTCGGAGCCACTTATCATGTCGCTGTTTTTCAATTTTACGGCTCCGGGCTCATCAATTTTGTTTAGCATTAAGGGCATTATTTTGAGGTTGCTGACAGGCCTTTGACAGTTTCAAAATGATGTTTCACATCTTCCGCTGGTTCATTCGTTAAAAGCCTGGCTTTGGGCCAGACGTCGCTCCACTTGCCAGAGCGAGCACAGAAATAGTCCGGCTTTCTCTTCATGCGTGACACACACTACCTCAGGACGCTACTGATGAAGTTACACGACTGCTTTGCGCGTCGGAGAGATGGAGCTTTTTACAGATGTAAGTGCTGTGATTAGTACTCCGGAGCCGGGCAACGGGCGGAGCAGCATTAGGTCATGGGGATTTATTTGCGAGCCCATTAATACTAGTCAAGTGATTCAAGATAAAGCCGAGCTGATCAATAGGGGGATTAGCTCAAGTGTGCTATCCGTCTTTACTTATTTTTATTTCCCTCTTCAACTCTATCTCTTTAAATAACGTATAGATTTGTCCCACATGTTACAGTAAAGAGTGAGAGGGAAGCTTGCTGATGCTAAAAGAAGAACACGGAGCTTTTGAGATTCATGTCGTGCTGCTGTTTTTCCCACCAGCAAAGATTCACTACGAGCCGGCCCTGCCCAGCCAGAGAGAATTCCTCACCCAGAGCATGCCTGTGGGCCACATGATCAAATTCATTATTACCTACCAGACGGTGAGTAGCAGCAGATAACACACGGCGCGAGCGAACAGACATGATTAAAGTTATGAAATTACAGCTGCAGAAACATTTTAAACACAAAGAACACTGCAGGATCCAATCCATGTAGATTAAAATAAATTTAAAAAAAAGTTTAATTGGTCATAAATACACAAAATAAAGGTGTTAAGCTTTGGTAAACAGCATTTGTAAGAGCCGGATTTCCAGCTCAATAGAGTTGGTAAACAACACTTCAAACTACACCACATGCTTGTCAATTTTGATGTTTTACAATTGAAATACAGCTGCCTGTTTCATGAAATAATAAAAAAAGAACAACTTGGAAGCAGTTTCTAAAGGCAGAACAAAAGAGGTGGCAAGTTCTGCAATAGACTGGCACTTGCAAAATGGCAGATAAATGAGCGAGTCCAACTGGGCTCCTTTATGCTCCTGCATGGCTTTTCAGTGCACCTTTTAAAAAAAAATTATTGTTAAAATACTTTAAAATTGGCACGGAGAAGAAGAAAAAGAGACCTCATGCCATGTTGAAATTTGCTTTAAAAAGGGTCCCTGAATTAGATTCGCCCATACACAAGGCTGTGTCAAAACACCGAACATGTTTTTAAGTCATTCACCGGTTTCCCAGCAGTGGCACCGAAACAGGTGTTTGGAAGGCTGCTCTCCAGGATGTTCTTTTTTATTTTTTGGTGAGCTTGTGTCAGACAGCAAATGATTAAATTGAGAAGTTTATAGATTTCAACACTTGGTTACAAAAGAGCTTCCAGCACATGATATTTGATTTGTTTAATCTTCTCCATTTGCACTTACAACCACACAATTAATTAGCAAAATGCTTGTGCGCCCCTGTTAGTAGATTAAATTTGTCAACTGTAATGAACACAAAATCATTAGTGCTCATGCAAACATTTATTAGATCCGGGCCTCGGTGCCTCGGCAAGATGCATTTGGATTCTGATAAACATGAAAAATATTGGTCCGTGCTTGAGATTGTGGTTTATTTGATGCTTTCCAGCTCTTCCTATATGTCCGCGTGCAGTTAGCAGTCTTACTCTTGCTAACTACTAATCACGAAATTGCTATAATTCCAAGCCCAGGAAGGCAGAGCGACATGTTGAAAATTAAGTGCATGAACGCCAGGTGTAGTATAAGTGGACTGCATACATTTCTGTGACATATGGAAGGAAATGCAGACTGAAAACCAGCTCTACGGCGCCTGCAGCTCTGAAACACCGGGATACTACAGATAACAGAGAACTACTCAAGGCAAAATGACAACAGAAAGCTTAAATACTGATCAAAACAGGTGCAGACAAGCACAACATTGTGGCCGCAGCATCCTCGGTTCAATACACAGCTGGGAGGCATTTGTTGTGTGGCATACCCTTCTCTCCCCACGTTTCCTGTCACTCTCTAGTGCCTGTACAACGCCAAAAAGAAGCCTCAACTAGAATTACCACCTTTTGGTTGTATGCTACAGCCGACAACAGTTTGCATCCATGTCTGTCCTTTTGGATCCGAAACATCATCGATCATCATTTTATCATATTAAAATACTCCGTCATAGAATTCTATCATAATTAGCAAATGGGTTCTTGGCCAAAAATGTGTGTTGGAACCTCACAGTGACATTGATTTTTCTTTTTTTTTCCCCCCACCTAAAATTTAATCACTTCATCCCTGAGTTTAAATGAACAGTTGTGACAAAGTTGAAGAAATTCCCTCCAGGTGTTGAAGAGATATTCACGAGAATGTCACAGACGGACGGATGGATGGACAATCTGGAAAAAAAAAACTACGCCTTTGGCTTCTAAAGTTGCAGCAGTAAAGTTGCAAACATTCTTATCTGCACTATGACTTTTACTGAAAGTCTGGTTCTTTCTATCGTTGCTGTAAACGTGCAATCTAATCGTTTTATTCTAGCAAAATTCTAATCATCGGGGGTTGGGGGGAAAAAAATGAAACATGCAATTTTATAGTGAGAAAAAGCAACTTCATTTATTTACTGTATTTATCCATTTGACTCCACTGATAAAGATCCAACTCCAACCAGTCTCCATGCTACGTATGCCTCCCAGACCTTTCTCCAGACCTTTGCCCTCGTCTGTATCACGGGTGAAGAAGCACTGATCAAAGTCAACTTGTAAAAGTGTTAGTGAGCCGAGCAAAGTCCACGGCCTCTCTCTCGCTTAGGCCACCATCCCTGGAGATGTACTTTCAGGACCTGACAAAAGCTGTTCATGCTTGAAAACACCAAAATGTCATTGAGTGGAAGCAGCGGTTCTGCATGACAGAACGGGCCGGCAGCGCAGCGGGAGTCTATCTCACAATCATCCTGTTCTATTGATAAATTATGACCTGCTGATTTCCAATTATGAAAGAAATTAATTAAAAAGATCTTTCTTTTCACTCAGAGCCTCTTGCTTTAAAATGATCCTTCGTCATAAATACTGAAATACTCGAGTCCAGATTTGCTAAGGTCGTGCTCTGGGCATTTATTTTTTTTAACACCTCAAATTGCTTGCGAATGCTTTAAGACTAGACACATCCGAGGCTGAGCAAGACAAGGCAGAATCAGCACAATAGCAGGGTCACACTGCTCGTTTAGCCCATTTCCCATGTTTAATAATGAAGTTGAAGATTTAATATGATTAACTGAACAATGTTCACACTTTTTTTTTTTTTTTACTTAAACCCTTTCTTTTTTAATGAATGATGAGCTAAGAAAGCCTACATCTCATATAAAAAAAAACAGCCACTATCTGGAGTAGAAGATCTTCACTTTATCACAACATCTTGGGGCAGTCGGTGTTGTAAATTTAATGCATTTTACTCCGACTTTTCAAAGAAGTATTCGCAAAAAGCATCAGTGGTTTCACCAAAAGCAGCTCGAGATGGAAGTCCTCAGTGCAGTTACTTTAAAAGGATATCAAGAACCAGCAGCAGTGCCCGCTGAAGGGAGAGGAAGCCTGTGTTAAGTGGAAAAAGCTGCCATCTAACTCCTTGTATCGATGTCAGAAACACATCAGATGAGAGTGGTTAAAAACCGACCTCGCGCCAAAACCCACGACCAGACGAAATCACGGAGACGCTGTGATATTAGACGCCTCCCTCCAGAACGCCGAGCTGACTGAGCAGTTCCCTTGAATGCTCTCGTTGCGTCGCTCGTGCAAACCCAAGAATTCTGCATTTTCAGCACAAACACTTGGAGTTCTGCATTCTTGCTCTGGATTATCTCTACAGCGAGGAACAATCATCGAAGCAGCAGCTTGTCCCTCCCAGGATCCAAGTCCTTGGAGGCAGCCTCGGGCTTCGCGTTGCATCTGTCTCTTCACTTAGCTGTGACAACGCTCCCCAGTGAAAGGTAATTTGCACAGGGCAATGCCTATAGCAGCTCCACAATATATGGAACTGGAGGTTTTTGCGTAAAAGTATGAACATCAGCAAATTCTCGAGCCTGTTTGAATGTTGTTTGCGGGCAAGTCCAATCCAGTCTGACAGCAGTGACCTGCCTTGGGGTGAAAAAAAATCCATATGTACTTACCCAACCAGGGTACAATAGTGTCACAATTAGGACCACAGAGGTCAAAGAGGAAGCTGAGACTACATCAGAACCCTCCTGATGGTGTTTGTTTGTAGCACAACAAGTTTGTCCAGCATGCAGGGCATCCATATTTGAAGCAACTGCCTCGTCTCCTCAGAGTGTCTAGAATAAGAAAAGAAGTTGCCAACATACCTCACGCTTGTTGAACACTCGAATTAGCTTCCCCGACATTATTCTTTGGCAGGAGACAAAGACATGGATGGTTCTGGCCCTGAAGAAACAGCTTCAAAGGTAACAACACAATGGTTCGGTGGTGGATTTTTGCTAATTCCTTCTTTTGTCAGCTCCTCGACTCTTCTTTTGTATCATGTTTTTAGTTTTTGGTGATGTTTTTAATTCTATACTTTGGCTTTTGAGCTCTTACAACTAATAACTAAGCAATAAAAAAAAGAATTGTTCAGTGATAATTTATCAACTCACACCAGCCCAGTAAAGAAGTGAAAGAATGAGACATGAAAGCAGTTTGCACAGAAATGCAAAGTACCGACATGGAGAGCTACATTCCAGTTCAACCAGATGTAAATGTGCCAGTGCATGCAGACAGAAATGTAAATGAAAAAGCACATACATGGACAACAGGAGTGATGCAAAGATCGCTTATATAATTCCCCCTTGTTGTCACAAAGTATTCTTAAATAAAACAAGTCAAAGTAAAGTGGCGTTTTATGCAGACTCAAAATAGTCGGTAGTGCCCAAAAGCATTTGTTGCAGGTAAGTCACTTATTATTACATGAGGCTGCAAATTTGCCAGCAGGCTACACATAGCGTGTGCAAGAGAGACAAATGCTTATTATTTCATGAGACAGTTGTATTACATTTGTAGGTCTCATGCTATCTTTGGAAGTAAAACAGTCTTGACATACAGGAAATGTATTCAAATCAGGTAAATTACATGTACATATATCTGTATACAGTACGACATACTGGTGCTGCACTCTGAATGCTCAGACAGAGCCAACGAAAGGAGGTACTGCCTACTCAACATTACTGCAGGATGTAACAGCCACAACAAGCGACTGGATAAAATGCCACCATAACAATGCTTGTTACAGTGTTCTGCTGGGAAACCTTGAGTCCTGGCCTTCATGTGGTTGTTGCTTGTACCACCCACCTAAAGGCCGTCGCAGACCGAGCACCACTCCCTAACAGCAGTGACCTCCCTCAGCAGGACAGTGCGTCCCACCAAACCACACAAACAGCTCAGGGACATCTCTTGGAAAACAACAAAAGAGCCTCAGGCGTTGAAGTGCCCTCTAAACTCCCCAGATCCCAATCCAATCGAGCATCCGTGGGACACGTTGGAACAAACTCAACCCACGGAGGCCCAACCCTGCAACCCACAGTACCCAACGGATGTACTACCAACGTCCCAGAGCCATACATCACAGGACACCACTAGAAGTCCCCGATGGTTCCGACGAAGTCCTTATAGGGAAGTCTCACCACTTGGTAACACCCCTGGGCAGTTAATTCGGGCCAAGCTTTTGTCTACATAAATGGGGAGAGATCTATAACTGCAATTTCAAAGGTCACCGGCACCTACAAGGTGTTAACAACAAACTAGATATTTCTTTCTATCCAAGTCAAGTCAGTTTTGCTTATATACCCCAGTATCACGATCCAAAATTCCAAATTACACTTTAAACTGGAGCAAATGTGTGTGTTTGTAGCCAGACATCACTTAATAACAGGCCTCTCGTACATATAGAGTATTCACGATAACCTCGTGAGATCAAGTTGGCTGCCGGTTTTGATGCTGCAGTCGCTCTCTCAGGGCACGATGGTACCTGGACGTCTGACTCCTCCATGATGGGTTTAGATTCTGCTCAACAACGTCTGCTGTTTGACAGAAACTTTGCAGTTGTCTGATTTCAAAGGTTTGTATTGTTGGTAGATTACATGGTGTGGTTTGCTGGTGGCTATAGCACAGTTACAGACTATTGTATATTAACACTGGACTGATGTAACTGCTGAACTGTTTAATAACATCAATACTTTTGGTAGGCGGGATGTGAGGTTTCTCTACCAATTTGAAGCCCCGACAGTCTGACCAGCTGACACATCAATATCTAAAACTGTTGTCTTGTATTTGACTCTTTATGCAGTCGAGTTGTTTGTATAGCTTGAGAGGGACAGAACTGCTCGACTGATTCACTGAACGAGAATTCATGCAAAATGGAGTTTGAACCGAGATCACATATCGCCTGTGCGGCATTTTAATAGGCTGCCTTGTCGTAATCAGATGAATTGGTATATGGGTCTGATAGCGTTTTATTAAATCAGAATTAGATCTAACACGACGTTAGTGTTTCTGCCTCTGCAGACTGAAGGCTGCTGGAAGGTTCCAGAGGACAAAAGGAGAATCATTCACAGCGTTTAATTGTGCGAAAAGACTAACATTTCAAGGCCACTGTGTCGTTATCATATGGACAAAGACGTGAGGCGAACACATTATTCAAGCTAAACCAGCTGAATAATTGTAATTGGAAAATAACGAACTGAACACAGTTTCAGATGGTTTGGATAAAATATCTAAATGTGTTGACTTAGTCAGTGCCACCAACGCAACACTATGTCAGAAAGAAAAAGAAAAACCGGATAAAGTTGCAAAAAAAACAAGTATAAATATCTTTGGAGAGTGACAAATTAGAGGAAACATTACAGATTCAGCACCGGATTAGGCTGCATTTCTCTGGAAGATGCACAGAGAACCCTGTTTTTCCACTCGGCTGCTGGAAACCGTCAGACTGTACAGCAGCTGTTCGTCTCTGCTGCCGCCGCCTGCTCTCGTCCACTTTCCAGGCGAAGCACACTTCATCCCGAATGAGCCCATTATCAAGTCATTCATGAAGCTACAAAAAAGAACCACTCAGCATCATATCTATGAATGTTCCCTTTTGTTTCGTCCTTTGATTTAATTTGGTAATGTTTCTTCTTTCATTTCTTGCTTGTGGGCTCATTTTCGGGTTCTGGTTGAGGACTTTCAAATCCCTCTTCATGTTCTTTTTTTTTTTTTTTTTCATCTTACTTAGCTGGACTAGCTGAGGGAAGGGCAGCCGCAATTGGAGCTATATCCCTAGAAATGATGGCAATTTGTGTCGGATGTTTAGGGACACAAGCCAAGGACGTGATTTTCAATCAAAGACACCAACCCTCACTTCACACAAACTGCTCCGTCTCACACATGCAAAAACTGCATCACGTAGTCTGTGCTGCACTAAATGTATTCATCGCACACACCAATTTTTTCCCAGCACGTGTGACATATGTCGCCTTGTTCAGCCAACCAATGAGTGTACGGGGCACGACTCTGCGGAGGATCTGACGAAGGACAACCGGTGAACCAGCAGCAGGGTCGCGGACGCCTACTGATGGGAACCGAAGCCCGGCTTGTGTGGTCTGATCCCACTGAAGAGCTTCTGTTGCACAAAGTGCTCGGTGCAGGCTGTGACAGAAAGGTGTCAGAACAAAGTGCATTACAGCTTGCTGCGCATAGGGCTGCAGATCTCTTAGAGTGTCCACCTTGACCTCTCTTCACCAGCGAAACTGTCTTCAATAGTCACATAAGTATCAAAACTGCTGCAATGGAAGACGATTTCCTGGTCTTGTGAATTGTTGTTTTACAAGTGGACAACCAGATATTGGTGCATCATTTACCCTGTGAATAGATGGCAGAAGGATAGGAAGAAGGCTGTTGAAACGCACTGCTGGGAAACCTTGGATATTGCCATTCATGTGACTATTATGTTGACAAGTGCCACATAACAACTGTATTCCTCTTTCAACAGCATAATGCATCCTGCCACGCAACAAGTATTATTCAGGGATGGTGTAAAGAGCATCACAAAGGATTCGAGATGTTGACTTGGCCTGAAAGTTCTCAGAATCTCAATCCACAAGATGTCCGATCCATCGAAGAATCTGCTGCAAATTAGAATCCAAATTTGATGCCAAATAGATTTATGTGACTTCTCGTTTGGCTTGGTGTTGAAGTGATGCATTGTTGATAAAGTAGCATCCATTTTCTCTGCAGGCTTTCTGGAGGGAGAAGGGCTTCTCTGGGGAAAGCGTGGCAGGATCCTCCACTGAATGTCCATTCTGTGTCACCTTTGACGCCACCAGCCCGAATGGTAATGCCGCTCTGGTGGGCTTCATTTCCGGCCAACAGGCGTCTCAGTGGACTTCTAAAGAGGTAATGGCAAATCAGCGTGGACACTCATATGAATACTAATGTATACTTACAGAGAATTTAGACATGAGTGTTCTCAATGCGTATGCAGCAATTCATTTGTTTTACATTGTATTTATTGGAATTCATTATGATATAATGTAAAATGGTAAATTAACAAGGTAGCTGATCCACATTGTTCCATGATAGAGTTCCTCATAACTGGATAGAAGATACAAATGGTGGTTTGGATTGGATCGAATTTTGAGTTTGCATGAAATAGTCCTGATTTCAAACTATCTGCTGGGATGTTGTTGTTTTTTTTTAGCACAACTGGTATTTTTTTAATAACAGGTCTCGTGCCACTTTATCGCAGAAGTACAAACAGGGTACGAATTCAAATGCCTGAAAGTCCAACAAGTTCACTGGACAAAAAGGCAGAATAATCAGGCAGAGGTATCCAATTTACAAGGCAGGCTCGGTAGTCAAAAACAAACTGGGTAACAAATGCTGGGAGAATCAGTCAGCACAAGACAAAGTTGCGAGAAACATGACCTAAAGTTTGAGTATAAATACACTGGGGCAGGAAGCCAATCACAGACTGGTGGAGCGCATTAGGGCGGGGCAGGTGATCAGACAGGTGGGAAATCAAAGACCAGGGAGTGTAAAGACACTTGCAATAAGAGAAGAGTGACTACAGAACAGGAAGTATCAAAATAAAACAGGAAAGAATCAACTCATGACCTATAAGCAGGTGACACAGCAAGGAGGTGGATGTAATCGCAACATACATGCTGCATTGTGCTTTAGTATTTATTTTGTTGGAAATGTCAACTTTTTATTACACATCACAAGCCAAATTATTTTCCGTTTTACATTAAAAGAAAAAGGTGGCTCAGTGGTTAGCACCGTTGCCTCACAGCAAGAAGGTCGCTGGTTCACGTCCCTGTGAGGACACCCGGGATCTTTCTGCATGGAGTTTGCATGTTCTCCCCGTGCAGCGTGGGTTCTCTCTGGGTTCGCAGGCTTCCTCCCACAGTCCAAAAGTGATTCTAAATTGTCCGTAGGTGTGAATGTGAGTGTGCTTGGTTGTCTGTCTCTAAGTGTAGCCCTGTGATAGACTGGCGACCTGTCCAGGATGTCCCCTGCCTTCACCCTAAATCATCTGGGATAGGCTCCTTGGTTTCCAATTAAGCATGGAAAACAATGTATAAGATGGGTTTTTACACCATAATCCAAGGACTTATTTTTGAAATTTCCATATTAGAACCTGTCCCTGAATGTAGCTGTAAAACCAAAAGGCCAAAATGCACAGAAATATAATAAGTGCCACAATAAAAATTTAAAAAAAGAACTCCAGCAAAACACAAAATCCCTTTCACTTAATCAGAACAGTAAATTAAAACATACACAGCAGCCTTATAACAACTAGTTAGGAAACACTGACTGACCAAATGTGATGCTGCAGAAACAAAGCGATACAAATGCTACAGCTGTTTATGTGACTGCAGTGTGAGGCGGCTTCACAGGTCTGTGAATAATTGCTTTTTTTAAAACCGGTACATTCTGGTGCACTGACCTCCCGAGTAGAAGAGGTTAAGCATCGCACAGCGCTTCATCCGTCTCATATGTCTGCCTCATCTCGTGCGCGATTCACATTACATGCAGCTAAAAAGGCAACACAGTGTGAATTGTCAAAATGACGTTCTTACTCAGGGGCAGCATTATGAAAATTGCATTCAAGGCCGTAGCACCACCTGAGCTCTGAAACAGCCCGGCGCATAGGCCGAGAGCTGCAGGGTGCTGCTGCCAGCTTCCACTAGCTGTTATTTCAGTAAATATGGGACACAGAAATAGTTTTTCAAATGCAGTAGAGCTGTGGGTTTTTTTGCAGTTCTATTTTGCAACTGACACTGGATATTTCCTGTCCTTGAAGTGTGAGTTAGCTTGGCAATAAAGAAAAGCTTTACAAATGCACCGGTTGTAACCTTAAAAAAATGCAGAATTGCTTAACTGAAATTTGAACCGCATGATTGTTAACGGTCATTCAATTGGCAACAAGTTATCTGAACACCAGTGGCTCGAAAAAATACCTGGACATTGCAAATGTGGTCTTAACGCTGAGCCGTGCTGCACAGGGGGCTGATTAATTAACCTCCGCTTGCTTCCTCGCGGAAGGAAAATGTGGCGTTATGAGCATAGCGCGTGTATTCGAATAGCTCCTTTTATTCGCAAAGTGTGTTTTACATTTAAAATTTATGTAAGAAGACTGGACATGAAGGTTGAATTTATACACAGTTTGTACCATTCGGGTGTGATTCACTTGTCAAAATGATGCTTTTTCATACGTGGCTCTTGTGTAATTTGCCCGACGCTTTGGTCTCGTAATGGCATTCTAACTCTGAAGGGCATGTTGACTGTGTAATTTTGTCGAAGTTTCAGTTGACACCATTAGAAATCCCGCAACAAAGAGTGTTTTCAGCTGCATACATTCTTTTTTTTTTTTGAAAGCCATTTGAAACTATTCTTTTATTCCCTCTTTGTTGTTCCGTAAGCAGAGTACTGAGAGGCTTTGAGTCAACTCCAAAGGGGTGAAGCCGAGCGCCAACTCAGAGTGACATGGAGATAAAATAAGCTTTGATAATTTTGCAGCATCTGCCAGCGTGTTTTATGGCGGGCTGTCCTGTAGGTCCTCAGGTCTCGGCGGCTCCGTGCATAACTCACCGTGTGCGCATCTTGTGTCCAGCTTGGATTGGCTTTTCTGTAATGTGCATTTATATTTCAGCAGTTATAGTCGTGAGTGATGAGCAGGTGTAATGTAAGTATCGAATTGGGACTTTTTTTTTTGTGTGTGTGTTTCCAGCCTGAAGAAAGAAGAAAAGCTGTGCTCTCCAGTCTGGTCAAATACTTCGGTCCTGAGGCTGCATCTTTCATCCACTATGAAGAGAAAGTAAGTACTTCAGTGGCAGATGTCTGCAGTGAGAGAGCAATATTTTTGGTTTGGAGCAGAGTTTTATAGGACCAGAATTTATAGCTCCATTTTTTTTTCTGTCCTGGAAGTTATTTTGTGTAACTAAACTCTGTAACAAATCCACTTATGTACTAAATAATAATGTATTTCAGTAGATGCTGGGCAAAGTAGCCCAACATTATGGTCTTCCTATGTAATAACATCACATTTATATAGTAGAGGGAGCTCGATGTGATTCCAGAAAAACACCTGCGACAGTCACACTTCATTACTTGTAATTTCTTTTTGATTGTAGTGATGCAATTATTAACCAGGCGCCATTGAAATATGCCCAATTGCACCGCAGACATTTCTGATTGTCCATACTTAAAGACACCCACAGTGAAAATACAAGGACAAATGTACAGATACAGCTCCTACTACAACTGAGCAACTGCTGGGATTAAATTGTCTTAAACTGTTAGAATAAACAGGGATGCCAGCGAAAGATCATAAAGTGTGCCCAAGTTTTTGAAATGACTCAGTGACAGAAGGTGCTTTCTTGGCTGTGAGTCTGAATGTGAGCAAACTCCCTAACCTGTCAGACAAATGGTGAACATTATAATAAATACATGGAAGGCTGACCTGGCAAAGATGCACACACACGAGCCACGACTACATTTTATACGCAGTGGATGCCCTGCTTTAATCGTGTCGTGCACAAGCAGAATAGCTCCTTAGATCCATTACAACTTGCACAGCATACACTGGTAGTAAATTAGTCATGCGGATATATGATTTCAGTCCCCCAACTGTTTTCATACGCTGAACCGTCGCAAAGGCAAGACGTAGTGGAAACTTGCCCTGAGAAAACTTGAGGCGGCGACAATAAGGGAGACATCATGATTTTACTTTTGTTGACTAAGAGACTCTAGGGGAGTTTTAAAGTACAACAGCAGCAACTTGAAGCTTAGCGGGGCGAGGAAGGATGATAAATTAGTGCCACGTTGTCTGTCAACAATGTATTTTTGCGAGAGCCCACTGGGGATCAGATTCGTGTGATATTTTAGGGTAATTGTTTTTGCCTGTGTTTATTTAAACGGGAAACATACAGACGAGTTACAAACACAACTTTCACTTTTGGATCCTACTGTTGTTTTTTTTTCTTTCTTCCATTCAACTAATCTGCATCTCCATTTTAGAGGCAAAGTATTGAGTGGTTGATGTTAGCGAGTTCACCTATTAAATATTTAGTAAGTGCATTTTTAGAATCAAGCCACGTGACTGACGATACTGTGTATGCCTGCTTTCAGGCTTAATTAACATCTAGCCATGATTGTAAGTTCAAAACAAATGCCATTAACAAATGTTAGAGTTTTCCAATCATTTTTTGGTGAACGTGCACTTCAAGTTTTGCCCGTGGCTCGTGTTTTCAAACTTTGAGGAGATGGGGTTGTGGGTGGCAGGTGGAATTGAGTAATTGCAGACTGACCTGTTGATTTGGCCCACTTACCAACACAGTCACCTGCAGCTGCAGCTCCAACGGCGGCTGTGACACACAATTCATGAAGGGAATTAAGGTTCCTTAAAGCCCTTAGTGACAAATTCTGCTTCTAAAGTCCACTATGTCCATCACAGGTGAATGTCCATGAATCTGCCTTGAAATCATAGAAAATAATACTTACAATTGCATCACTCGTCTGAGAATCGTCACTTTTTTAGGTTCTCGACAGTAACAAAGCGTTCCACAGGGGTGGCTCACCTGGTGGGGTTTGCACATGATGTACCGGGACTGAGTCATCCCTGCAGCAGCCCAGGTTCAGGTCCTGGCTTCTGGGGGCAGCGTTGGCTGGATGGTTGAGGCTCTGAGTTGCCGACCCAAAGGTCGAGGGGTTCAAGCCCCAATTCCACTGTTGCTCCAGGGGTAACTGATCACGGCTGACCCAGTGCTCTGACCCCAACTCTGTGAACAAGCTGGGATACGGAAGAATAAGAATTTCACAGAAGCTTCTTCTTCTTCTTCTTCCAGTGATAGTTTTTGTACATGCGTTGGTCATTCCATCTCAAATCATCCAAGTTTTGCAGCAATTTGTGCCTGACCATCTTTGACTTGTATAATTTTTTTTGTCATAATTGGTTTTGATTCGCTTGATGTATCAAAAACTTTGCAAGAAGATCAAACTTTTTTTTTTTTTTTTTTTAATTCACTTCACAGGCACTCCATCACGTTTTTTTTTTTTTTTTTTTGCACATTAAAATTTGACCCTGGTTAAACCTCAGTATCTCAGGAATTATTAAAGACAAAAGCTTGAAGTTTTCACTAATATTTCTCATGGCATCGATTCAGAATCTGCAAAACTGGACAAGTAGCTCAAACAATGTCTGATTATGGTTACGTTGAACTATTGAAAAAAAAATGAAGCTGTCATAAAAAGTCCCATCTTTGAGCTCATATTAACAAAAAGATGAATAATGCAGATGTCAACTTGGGATATTTTCTGAACCATATGTAGTTGTATGTCTGAATAATACAAAACAGAACAGTTGGATTGCTTTTTTAATAGGAAATACTTGACCACACAAATGAAAAAGAGGTTTCGTAACAGTAAGTGTTTAGTATGTCAAGCTAAAGTTTCACAGATTCACAGTTTATGATGATAGTCGAGCAAAAGGCCTCTGATATTTTGAGGTGAAACAACCTACATGGGTATCTTGCAAAGTGGTTATAGCCAATATTATAAGACTTTAAAAACCCTGGTTCTTGGTACATGTTGTGTTTTAGAGAGTTCAGCCGTTATATAAAATCTGCCATCGATGACAAATCTATGCATTTGCACTGTGGCACTGAAATAACACTATGTCATATCATTAAACTATTTGTTTTTACAGGACTGGGCTAAGGAGGAGTACAGCGGCGGCTGCCCTGTTAATGTCATGGCACCGGGTCTGCTGACGTATTACCACCCCAGCCTGAGGAGGCCCTGTGGCAGGTAATCACCCCGCTGATGACAAATACGCCACAACATCGCACCTCTTCGTCTCTCTAATACTCAAAAAGGGCCACCTTTCCTCCGCATTCCCGCCGCAACGAATCGTTATGTAAAAGGAAGTAGTACAGTAAACTGGCGTGACAGCTCTAAATCTTTCGTATAAATCTCCTGGAGAGCTGAATTTAAGAGTTTATGGTTTTGCAAATTGTATCACTGTACGCCGAGTGACACTTTGAGAGATACCGGGTGTATTTGCACTATTTTTATGCCAAAGAAACAATGTGTGCACTTCTCCCTGCCAGCTAGGCATTACTCACCAGCACCCAGTGCCTACAGATCATTGACATGAGACGTGGGAGTGATTATGCCTTCAATGATGCATAGTAGTCCAGTTCTAAAGAAATGGCAAGGGGTCATCAGGAGGGGTGTTCTCATAGGAAAATGTCCTATAATCCATTTCTAATGGCCTGTTCAGAGATGCACAAAGCCGAACAAATGAGAGCGAGCGCTGGGGAGAGAGGGGGGGAAGATCCAGGTAATGCATTTCCATAATGACATCAAGTCCGTGGGGAGCAGAGGAAGCTCATTACATAACGTGACTCAAACAGCAGAGAGGGGATGGCAGCCCTTATCCACATTCCTACCCCATATAGGAAATGGATCCTCAAGGACGCGCTGTGACCTTGACACGGATCCAGCACATGTAATAAAGGCAGAGCCACGTTCAGCTGACAGGAAAAAAAAAAAAGAAAAACAGAAAGCTGCTGGTGCTTCAAACATCCTTTATTTAAGAGCACAACAGATCATTGTAGATTAATGGATTCTATTTGAGATAGTGTGTCTCAATACCGACCACGTTGTAGTTTTCATAGAATAATTATCCGACGTTGAGAGTACGTTCGACTGGTCAGCATGTGAGATGTTTGCTGAGAGACTGAGTAGGAGAGAAAACAGGAATAAATATGAATAAATTGACCACAGCGGGTTCCTACTTTACTAAGTTAACGGCTTTAAAATGGACGCAGAGCTGATTTGTAGGACGCTGACTCGAGCACCAGACGAGGATTAGTTTATTCAACCTATGATACACAGGGTGCAACAGAATCAATTGAAAGTCTTCTAGAAATTAAAGACCGTCGGTTTAAATGCAGTGGCCTTTAATGTTTTGATGATTTCAGATGCTTGTGCCGTAACACTTTAGACATCGGGGCTGCAAGTGATAATTATGTTCGGCTAACACTAATAATTAGGCGAACAGTTCTCCATCAGAGCTCTATAGGCTTAGCAGTGCACGTCTGTGTGTTGATACAGTTTGGATCCATTGAACCAGTGCAGGATTAGCCTGCGAGTCCTCCACTATTCTCTTTTTTGCAGCAGCCACACTGTGCCGTACCCTGAAACACCAGAACGATTCCTCTGGGAACCTCAATTGTGATCAAAGAGGCACAATAACAATATGTTGATGTATTCTTACAGAGGCTCCAACCTTGCACAGAGCGACGCCTGTAGTGGATACAGCTATTATCAAAAGCCTGACTGTAAACCAACATGCAACACCTCAGGAGGAAATGAGCGTCGCAAGTACCTTTGCTTCCTGCTAAGCACAGTTGTAGCATGTGTGTAACGAGCACATGAGCCCTGCAGAGCTACGAAAGCGACAACATGATATAGGAGGCTACATGTGGTTAGCAACGTGAGATGCGCCGAGCAAAATATCACCACTGATATGTTTCTGTAATTTAGATTTATTAAACCGAAGAAAAAACTTTTCCAATGCAATATTTAACTTTAGATTAGATTCTTTCACCTTGTTAAAACGAAGCTTTGAAAGGTCAACGCAATAAAGTTTGAATTTGGAGCACGACGCTGGGTGACGCTCCTGCAGGTGACTGTTCCCTTATTTACAGGACGTTGCCAGTTCTCCAAAGTACAGACTTACCGCAACACTTTAACACATCCAGCAGGTCAAGTCGGGTGAAGAAGCACTAGCTATGATCTCTTCTGCACATCCTTCACTGAAAGCAACTCGATGCCGCTTCTTAAATTTGCATGAAACGCCCCAGGGAGGGTCTATTCCTGCCAACATATACAGCGGGATTTTGATATGACACAAAGCCAACAGCAAAACAAACATCTGCTTATACAAGGACAATTCAGTGAAACACATTTTGCAGCGATGCTTTCCCGAACCGAGGACGTCACGGAGAAAAAGTGAGGAAAAAGTCGGCAAGAAGCGAGTCAGCGAGATGCGTCACACACTGATGGGCAAGGAGGTTAAAGATCTAGTACCTTCTCTGTTCTGTTATAACTCAGTCCTGCTGAATCCTGCAAGGATATAATGAAGTATATGAGATCCCGCTAGTACTCACAAATAGAAAGGTTTCTTTCAATTACGAGAAAAATATAATACAATGTACCACCTCCAATAAACCAGGGAATTACACAACCCGGCAAAATACGGAAAGATTTTTTGCTGCAAGGAGGATAATTAATTCAATCATACTGAACATCCATCTACAGTCCTTACACCAAAAGCCGACAATACCGTCCACGGCTCTCAAACTTTATGCAGCCTTTATGAAAACTCTTCAGGGAGATACACTTAAAGCAGATGAGATGATTCTGTTATATGTCTTTCTGGGTGTATTAAAAAGGCTGCACAGCAGGAGCACCGAGGAACCAATTGCAAGACACCCACACTCGGAACATTAGAAAGCATCTCACTGCAGAACAACTGTTGGATTTGTGCCTTAATGCCACATAATCAGACTCAGAGGTGCTTCCTGATGGACATCACGAGGATAGACGTATGCCTCTCGGTATAAATTAAGGATGGAAAAAGGATAAAATGCAGCCACAATGCAGTCTGTTCGATAGAATATACAATGCATCATATGTTCAGATTTCAACAATTCAGCACGTTATATTGATGTTATTCATATCAAGTGGTGCCATTTTATTCCTGTGAATGCTTTAGTCGGTACAATCATGAGAAAGGTCAATGACAATATGGAGCGTTATTCTTTGTAGAGTCTGTATTTGTGTTTAATGTGACAATGTATATCTTTCTATATCCGTTGCATTTAACTGCTGTCGTTCCCAGTTTCAGAGATTCGACGCTATTCTTGTGCGTTCTCGGAATTGTATACCGTCGCACACCTACCGAGACAAAACGTCGCATTAACTTGACAGAGCGCCAAAATTGCCGCAACAGTCAGTCGATCTGTTGGCGTCGGCTCTCATCATCCACTCACCTATTTAAACAAGACACCAATCAAGTTCAATCAAGACCACGAGGCGGCCATTTTAATTTGACAAGCTCTCATTCTTCTCATCATAATGCTACAGCTCATTATACTGTTTACTGCCACCTGCTAGGCATGCCGCCGTAATGGCTGCTGCTGATTGATTTCTCCCTCCACCACTCTTGCCTGCTTTATTTTTTTATTACCATACTTGCCGAATGCAACGCTTTCCCTTCTTCATTATCGTGTATATCCTATATCAGTGCTGTATAAATCCATTAGAAAGCACCCTTGAGAAAGCCTATAATCACGAGCTGCAGCAAATGATCCAATACTTGGAGTGACATCAGGAAACCCCAAATGCAATTTTGGGGAACTGCTTTTTTTTCTTCGAATGTCTTGAAATGCACTCCGCCTCTCAGCATGGCCAGGTAGTCTGCATTACCAACGCCAAGCTTGTTGACATTTCAGTCTGAGGTCTCAAGGTCTCTGAGATTCCAGTTAATGATGTCTCTTATTAGGCCGGACTAAACAAAAATGCCTCCAGACATTCTCGCAGCACCTTTTGGCACACACTGACCCTCTGTTTACTCCTGATTACTCTGCTTTTGTGGTCAATTCTTGTTAGCAACCTGGCTGAACAGTAACATCCATTTGCGGGTGACGCATGCTGCCTTACCACGGACAGTTCTGTGAGTCCAGACCAAGTTTGTTTGCTTCAAAGGCCTTCTTCTAACTCTGTTGTTCAGATAACATAAATTAATCATCAAGGACAGATTAAATGTGCTAAGGGGGAGCATTTCTTAATTGCTCTGACTGGTGGACAACAGTCTGAGCTGGCATAGTTCCTGCAGAGCCTTGGAGCAAGTATACTGGGGTATTGCATATATAAGCATTAATCTGTTACATTTAAACTATCTGTTGGATAGTAAATTAGTGGAACGTCCTGTTTTTTTGGTTGTTTTTAGCAATACAGACATGTGAAAGTAAGAATGTAATAAACAACTGCAGATACAACAGGTGTAGGCGTAGGTTCCCTTTGTACAGTTAAAATGGGACACCTGGAGGTCCAGTGGTGTTTGCTACAAGGACATTGGCTGCTTATCATTTGGGTCTTGCGGGTTGTGGAGTTGGAGTCCTGCATGTTTAAAGCCTGGGTCAACGCCCTGGGCTCCTGGTCATGTTCCTCCAGACATTCCTGAGCTGTTTTTGCGGCACAGCGGGGTGCATTGTCCTTCAGGGGGGGATGCCACTGCCATCTATTAGTGCTATTGTCATGGGGTCTGCAGGAATGTTTAGGCGGGTGGTAAATGTGAGGAGAAGCCAGCAGCTCCTATTGCCTGGTCGTGGGAGATGGGTTCATAAACAAAAAAACATATTTAAATTCAGCCAAAGAATAAAAGAGCAGCGATGTATAAGTTTCTAAGCGATGCAAGTACCTGCCTTAAGGCATGCGGAATCGCTAGCATTCTGAGGACACGGATCATCAACATTTTTGTTTTTCCAGGAGTAGCAGAAAATAATTGCACCACAGATCCTAAATAACAGAATTGAATCGCTCTACTTTCTGCAGAGCACTTCAGCCCACTGGAGATGGCATTTCTTTTATCTGAAGAGGCTTTGAGTGAACCCTCACAGAAAGCACAGAACAGCATGACTCAATCAAAACCTTGCTCCAGTCCACTAAATCATGTTATCACATTAGATAATATCCATCTAAGATGGATAACTGTGAAGAAAAACCCAGGAGCCTCCCTCATGCATATTCTGTTCTCACCTTTGCTCCACTGACCCAAACAGCTGGATTATTCCATGGAGGGGTAAAATCATGTCATATATCATTCATGCTGGGCTTTGTCTCAGCTACATCTCACCAATCAGCAGAGCTGCAGACACTAGCCAGGACACCATTCTCTCCATGTTTATCATAAAACTGTGAGGTTTTTCTTCCCGGTGAACCTGCAGAGCCGAATCAGCTTTGAGTTTTCTCCCTTCTTTGCCACCTCACACATAGTCCTGTGGGGGTCGATTCTCAAGACCAAGGGATGAATATTATTGTGTTTCTCCAATGTGCTTGTAATTGGTTCCCAACCTCCCAGCTAGACGGAGTACTGTGGAGTTATTTAATACGCCCCTCACTCTTGCTTCCACAGGCATTGGATTGGGGCCTTGAGAAAAACAGCTAGCCTTTTTCCAGGGTAGCGACATGCGAGGGTGGATAGTGGTTTGTGTTCACTATGCCACTGGTGAGACGGAACAATAATGGATCATCTTTGATTCTACAGAGCCTTTGTCTTCTTCCTTTCAGGGGTCTGCAGTTGGCATTAGAAGCACACGTTGTCACAGTCGTTGCTCTTTTTGTTGCCCTTTGTTCTTTGAATTACACTGCTGGATGTCGTACAGGACGGGGATTTTTTTTGAGAATATCCGTTATACAATCACAACCTCACTGTGACAGCCTCACCAATGACACTGCCCTACGGCCCTGCACGATCCAGCTGAAGCACTCTGTTCAGTGTAAGCACATGATGGCGACTGATCTTGACAATAAACCTTGGCAACATGGTCAGTAATTTGTAAGGTTTATAAAGCATCCTTGACTATGTTGTCATCGCACGGAGCAGAAGGAAAGTGGATGAGGGTTGTTATTGTACCTTTGGAGTGAGGCTTAACCTAATTTGTCAGGCATGTGCTTGCAAATTTTAGTGCACACTATGCAATTTCCAACTTTGCCATGGACACACGGAGCCGCTAAGCTAACAGAGACGTGCTGAAACAGTTTGTCAGAGAGTAAATATCGTCAGTCATATGTGTACCCAGTAAAACTAATCATGCAAATGACTGTTTACAGCTTGGCACATCATATTTAAATGTGCTGATAGGTATGTAAAGACAAAGGCAACGCTGAACTTTCCTTACTTGCAGGATCCACTGGGCGGGCACCGAGACAGCTACCCAATGGTGTGGATACTTGAGCGGTGCGGTGCAAGCTGGCCAGCGAGCAGCTCTGGAGGTCCTGGCTGAAGTCTGCCACGTGACGCTGACTGGTGAGGAACAAGAAGTACTGCGGTGCAGTCAGACTGTCAACGGTCCTGCTAAGCAAACTTCATCATCCAAACTCCTGTGCCTGTTTACGAGCAAATCTGTCGTTATAGCAACACTGACATTAAGCTCTGTTCTCCTGCTGGCTCGGCGTCACGATGCATTGACGAACATCAAAGCTTACTTGGCAGGTGCCTTTTCCACACGCAAACTTGATTTTTTAGGACTGTAACAAAAGCAGGCATACGTTTTGACTAATTGGGTTTGACTTGGACGGATTGAACAGGTGTCGGTTTTGCAGGGATTTTTGGCACTGATTTCTGTTTTTGGCATTGTTCTAGCCTAAGACCCTCTGATTGTAGCAAGCCTGGACCATCAGTTACCAAACTGACGAAAACTCTGACCCTAAACACCAGGGTCTGTTTAAAATGTTCCCAAAACAAACCCAGTTGGTTAAAAATGGCAACAGTGCAAACTCATGGACCAATCAGAGCGCTTCACCTCCAATACTGACATGCTGGTAATCACAACAGTAACAAATCTATTGCGTGTTGAATGACGATTGTGTTGATCATTTATCATTTAATTGTTTTTGAGGGTAGCCATTGAAAATCACAATAGTGTCATCTGAATAAACAACAACAGAAAATCGATATGGCAACCTCGCTAAGCAGCTTCTTACTTTTCTTTTCAAATTAGGTTGTGCTTGTAAGCTTGTAGCTTCAGAGCAGTCGTGGTGTGTTCAAATGATTCTGCAGCTCGAACACAGAGCTAGCGAACCGCATACCTTTGCGTTGTGTCCCAAAGAGCCACAAAACCCGCTTAAAAAGGGCTTGGAGCCGAGCCAGAAGCACGTTTGTGCATCCACAAAACCACCGACAGACATTGGAATGAGTGTAAGATGGATGAACCAGTCACACAATGAAAACATCCAAGATAAAGTGATTTAATCGCTATCACTTGATTGCACGGTTGATTGAAAGGATTTTTGTCAGTCCCCATGTCTCCCCTAGAGAGTGTCTCAAATGCCCACTAATCATGGCATGGTCGTCCGTGACTCCATTGGCGCCGCGGCTTGCTATTTGTCTTTGTTATCACTAGCTTGCACTGAATCAAACGCTTGTGCTCCCTGGTTTCCTCTAAGCCAGGCCAGGCTGAATCAAGGACAACAGGCCAACATCTCTGTACATGTTTGTTTTTTTTTTTGCAACATTTGAACACTGATTTGATCATTTTGAATTGTTTTCACACAGATCCGTGATATATACTTCAATTTTCTCTGACTTGCCCCTCCCAAAAGGACGGGTAAAGTGGATTGATGCACTATTTTAGGGACTCCGCAGTGTTGCTCAGAGGTTCCTTCTTATGGTATATGTCATCGCCAGCTCAAGACACACATGCGGTGATGTACCATCTGGGAGACTGGCAGCTTGCCTCGTCAGATGCTATTTTTTTCCATCATTCAGTGCAATCCGCTTCTTGGGTTCGGTGATGAATGCACGACCGGTGTGAAATGATGAGCATTTATTAGAAAGAGACGACCGAAACCGCCGTGTTCATGAGCCGTAGCGCCGGCACGACATGAGCCTCGCAAATAGCTCAGGTTTGGAAGGCCACAGACGACATGTACCATACACAATAAAGGCTAAAAAAGTGCACCGGTACAGGAGAAAGTAGAATTACTGCTTTGTGGTTGTTTGCAGGGGCGGGCTGGCAACAGAAGAACAGCCAGACACAGACTTTGCTGTCACACAGTCCAAGTTTGACGCACCAAATTTAAACTGACACAACATGCCAGTCAATCATTGACTCATTTATTTAAGAAAGAAGAAAAAAAAAAAAGGACACAATCTGTTCATTTGTTTTGTGCTGGTCCTTAAATCTAGACAATGAAATTAACTTTTCAAGAGTTTCCTACTGATGTTTGTGTGTAGAGAAACTAAAAATTAAATTCATGTAATGATCATGTGACGACTAATATGACTTAATGACCCGCTGTTATCATTATCATAATTAAAAAATTGTGCAACATGTATGTAATTTGTTCTATTTATTGCGTTATTAATTATCTAACCTGGTCGTATGAATGATGTATTGTGCTCTAATTTTCTGTGACACAGTAACATTTAAAAGTGCATTTATAATCGGATGTGTGCTGGTTCCTCCTCCATCCTCCATCCTCCATCCTTTCTTGTTTAGAGTCATATTCACCTGTTTGTTTGGATTGTATTTAATATTTTGCTTATCATTTTTGTTGTTGGACTAATTTTCAATTATTATATACATTATAGGGGCTGCAAGGTG